CCCCAAAACCCCAAAACCCCAAAACCCCGCTATACAATTATTGATGCGAAAAGTAATGCATTAATTAAGTTATTAGCTCTATAGTAAAACCAAAATAAAATACATATTTTAAGAATATAATGGCAGATAGTTCATTTATAAAAGAGAGAAATACCACAAAGCATCATGGATCTAATATCAAGCCTCACTCATTCGATTGAGATGTAAGATAATTTTGATTAAAATAAAAATCACTCCAATAGATTGCTCAAATGAGCGCTCGTGTACAATCAAGTTATATGAGTACAAAACCTTCAAAGTTAGGAGCAGTTGCGGAGTCGGTAAATTTTTCTTTAAGCAACAACAATAATAACATTATACCCGGCAACTTTAAATCTTGGCTGCATGGATTTGATACATAAAGAGGATTTTATCAAACTAAGAATGCACTTCGAGATAATAGTGGGAGTGCTGAGTGAGATTTGGATTAAAAAGGAGGAGTTTCTACACCACAAGAGTTCTAATTTTTCTCTAATCTCAGTAAGAATGGCCATGCTATTGGAACAGCTGTTGGAGGAAGCAGAGTAAAGAAAAATAAATTACTTTCTATGGAGCAAAGAGACCAAATAAATATTTAAATGAATCCTAAAACTGCAATTGGTGGAAATAGAGCATTTATGAATAGAAGTATAGGAAGTATAAATCCCGTAAACGAGGCTTAAACTAATTTAAAAGGACTTAAACTTAATCAAAGCAGTAATATGTCAGGGTTTGACTCTCGGATATTGCCATCAGTTTGTAAGAGATTTTATTTGTCTTAATAATTGAAATAGAAAACTTAAATTCTGAGGATCAAACATAATCTTTTATTTTTGGTGATCCGCATAATGAAAAAGTCAATTTTAGCAAGTTTACTTTATCTTAGAAAAATCCTGCAAGTAAAAACATGATAATTGATATATTTGTTTTAGAAGGATCATAAGAAAAAGATAAGCTGCTCTATGCGAAAAACAGATAAATTGTGAATGAATCTATTTAAAAGCTTAAAAGTTCAACTAACAAAAGAAGAGCGATATCCTTACTTAACGGTAGTCAATAAAATCAAATGAAAGATGGATAGGAATAGCCAAATGAGAGGCCTAAAATTGTTGAGAGCCCAAACTCATGGCTGAAAGAGTAATAAAAGAAAAACTTAGATTCATTGGCTATGATTGAAAAATTCCCAAAAATGAGTATAGATCATCGAATAGTAGAACAATGGCTCAACGATACATTAAGTGATGCAGAACATTTCAAACTACCTGGAGTGATAAGTAAGATTGATCACTAGAATCCCATTTCAAGATATGGAATTGATAGAATGACTTTAACAAATGCAGGGATTCCTAATGAAGATGTTAACCATCTTTATCGTGCTATGTTTGTTTACAGTGTTGGATTTTTCAGTTTAATTAGAGATACTGTTGATAAAAGTAAAGAGGTTTACTTACAGTTCAATGATGGAGCAAGACATGTTACAAAGTTTAGTATTGTAACTGCGCTGTGGAGAGTATTTTAAATACTCTTAGAATATACATATAGAGCAGATTACTAACTTCTAATTAATAAGAGTATATTTAATATAGGTTTATATTATTTTAGTATAGGAAGATTTTAAGGTAGAACGAGAAGAAAGAGAAAATGAGATTAATGAAATGCTCAAGGAATATAGATTAAGTGAAAACCAAATGGAAACCTAGATTTAGATTCTAAAAGAGAAATTAGATTAGGCAGAAGTTGAAAGAGCCAAAGAATAGTAGACTAGAGTCAGAATGGAGGAAGAACTGCTTAAAAACTAGAAAACTCATGAAGAGGAGGTTAATCTTAGACTGAAGTTTGAAGAAAAATTGAATAATCTTCATGCATTGAATAGAATAACAAATTAAAACCTTCTGAATACGCAAAATGAGTTTTCTCATGTGAATAAAATTTATACAGAGTTGCAAATACACTGCAAATAAATTACAGTAGAACTTGCTTAGGAAAAAATAAAGGCAGGAAGTTTTGAGCAAAAGTATATCTACAGCTAAGATAAAAACAACTTGTTAACTGTTGAATTAGCTGATAAATAGAAACATGCTGAAAAAATGCTGACTGAATTAAGTGGATTTATAGATAAATATGAACTTTATAACTATAAGTTTCAAAGCTCAGAGAAGGAACTTGCTAATGAAAAACTAAGAGTTGATAGATTAGAAGTTGAAAACAAACATCTCAATAATAATTATGAGCATTTTAAAAATTGCTTTGAAGAAAGCCAGCAAAAGAATAGGCTATTGACTTAAAAGATAAATGAACTAAATACAGAATTTTAGAAAAGCTTTAATGAATTGACAGTTTATAGATAGGAGCATACTGGTTATCAAACTCATACTAATCAAAAAGGTGAGATAATTGAAGAATTAAAAAACCTGATAAAGGAAGGTGAATTAAAATTTAAGCACTTAGAAGAATTATATTCAGAGCTAAAAGCTAGGTATAACATAGCAGATCATGAGCTCTAAATATTGAGAGTTGATTATGAACTTGCAACTTCTAAAGTTGAATAGATAAATAAAGCAAGAAATGATGCCGAAAACAAATTAAGGGAAAAGACCTAGAAGCTTAGGCTAGCTGAGTAAAAAATGCATGATAGAGATGAATAAATAATGAGAAATCATAGAAAGATTCATGAATTAGACGAGAAATTAGTTGAGTTAGAGAAGCAATACAATTAATTAGAAAAGGAAAAGTCTAATAACAGAGTAGAATTTGAGTAAATAAAGAGATAGCAGCTTGATAAGATTCACTCTTTGGAAGAACTAATAAAAAATGAAAAAGAATTACGATAGAATTGGTGTGAGAGGTATGACAAAGAAAGCAAAGCTTTAAGTTAATAAAATCTTGATGTTATAGATATGAAGACTAGAGTAAGTGAAACTGAAAGTAGAGTCAGACACTTAAAAGTTGAACTTGATAATGAAAAAAAATTATCTGAATCGCTTATTAACAGTAAAAAAGAACTTATGGAAACTTTAAATCACTATATCGTGAACTGCGAGATGTAAGAAAAAGATCTGTTCGCAATGAAAGAGGTAAGCAAGCATTTTGAGCAAATAAAAGAAAAAGAACATAAGGAGTTAAAGCAGGAAATCATTGGATTAAAATTAATTATACTCAATAGAGACATGAATGTCGAAGAATACTATACGAAATTAGGGTATCATTTTGAAACTATCATGAAGTAAAAGTCTATGATCCTTAGGCAGCATGTTGAAATAGGAATGCTAAAAAGATTTGTTGATGAATTTAGGGACACTTTGAAGGAGAGAAATGAGGATATCTCAATTTTCAAAGCTAAAGTGAAGAAATTAGAAGATGAAGCTTCCACTGCCAAAAATAATTACAAAATTATGAAAGCAAAGATAGAGCAAAAAGAAGATGAACTCTACTAGTAGACAAAAGAAATGAGAGATCTTTAAGAAAAGATGTAACGAGTCAAACAAAAGAAAAGAGATTGGAAGACAGTAAGTGAGTAGCATAAAGCAGAAATCACAGCAATGAGAATCGCGAAAGCTTTACTTTAAAATAAAGATGTCTAAACTCTACCACTTCAAAATGTTGATTAAGATATTTAATGCAACATTATGTACTCAGCAAATGCTTCTCTAGCCAATATTAATTCATCTGGAATTAGTAATATGTAGCCTTTTAAATAGCAACCTATAAATTTTTAAGAAAAGTATGAAAACGAAAAAAAAGAAAAAGAAAAAAAGAAGAAGGACCGCAGAGATTAGATTCTCAGAACATCAAAACTGCAAAATGAATTGAACTCTCGTTATGATATTACCAAGATAATGGGAAAGCGTGATAACAGAAACTTTAGCAAAAACAGCGGAAGCAATAGCAAGGAAAGGAAAACTCCTCAAGAAGGTCAAATGAGTCATCCAATGAGCACTTAAAATGTAGTTAAATATATTGAAGATCTAGGAAAAACTAGGAAATTCAGTGAAGAAAATGTTATGAAATCGGATTAAAATATTAACTCTTTGACTTCTGATCTAAACTTAATTTCATAAATCGATAATAGACATGGCAGTAATAATAGTAGCAGTAATTAAACACCAATTACACCAACTGATCATAGGTAATTAAGAGAAAGAGGTAGAAGTGTAATGAGCAAGCATAGAAAATAAAAGCTAAATGAAAATGGGAATAACATTTCATTAATTGTTGAAGGTCAAGAGTAAGAGGATTCTGAGGATCTTGATCATTACGAGTTAAAAGATGCAGTTTTGAAAGAAATCGAAATGAGTCAGAGAATGATGAAAAATATGGTTTAGCAAGATTAATTACTTCAAGACTAAATAGATAAAATCTAGTAATCAAATGTTACAAGCAGCTAAAACTCCCCAAACAAGCAGAGATAAAAGATGGAATAGAAAGAAAAGAAACAGATTAAGAGTTTTTTAAGAAACGCTTTTCATGATAGATGATGAATCAAATAATAAGCTAAATGCTTTCATCAGATAAGTTATGAAGATTAAATAAGTTTGTAATTTGGCAGCTAAGATGTAACTATTATGAATGATATGTGAATATTTATTTGCGATATAATTAAATAAAATACACTATAATCAATCAAAATCTGAGTCCCAGCTATATTCTTCATCATCGTCTACCTTTTTCTTCAATTTATCAGTAACAGCCAGATCAGTTCCTAAGAGATCCATTGATTTTTTACTTTTCTTAACTTTTCTGTGAATTTTTTCAAAGTACTCCTCATCGTCTTCAATCAGTGGTTCTTCTTGGATCATTTAAATTTTTGCTTTTTACATAGCATCCCTATCTGTTATCCTTAAAGTGTTTTGCTTTTTACGTTTTTCATAACTCTTTTTCTTTTCCTTAGATAATAGGTAGCTTATCTAAATCTATTTCTCAAGAGCTATTCTTAAAATGCCCTCTCGCTAATGCATTGAATCTATTTATTTTCTCAACTCTGAAAGATTGCTCTTCATATTTCTTATCTTCATTTCACCGTCTTCGTTACTCAGCTTTTGCAAAATGTTATCCTAAATTTTACAATTTAATATTGAATTAATACCTCTAACACTGCCAATTATTGTTCCATTTCTTCCAAAAGTTAGAGCTTATTATCAGTTCTGCCTGCTAACTGTTTTAAATCATTCGCTGAAGCAACTTTATTATCTTGGAACTATTATAGCTAAGTTATTTAATTCTAGTTCTGATTTGTTATTTTCTACTCCATCTGTCTTATTCGAATAAGTTATGAGTTTTGCTCACTGACAAGATTTTCCATTAACAATGGAATATTAGAAAGCTAAAATTCTCATACGACTATGGCATCTTGCAAAATTTATTTTCTTCTATTATAAACATCATCTGATTCATTTGAAAAGTTATTTTTTCCTTCAAATATCTTGTAACTCAACTAATCCTTTACTCTATTCACTTCCTTTTACCATTCTACTGGGTCTATATTAGTAGTCATTATTTCTTGTGTTATTGTTGCTAGTTCCTGAAAATTCGATTTGTATTATATCGTAGTTTTAGTAAGTAGCTGTGTGTTTTCTGATGCTGCAGTAGAACCAGTCCTAGCATTTAATGCCCCACTCTTAAATAAATCAGTTGTTCTGCCTTTCAAAGACTCTGTCATCAATGCTTTAAATTAGGAATGAAAATCATCCTCTGATTACTCTTCATCATTAAGTTCTAATGTAAACAATCACAATACAAATAAATAATTACACTAAAAGAACAATCTCCTTTTGTTTTTTTGAACTAGAGCAATATCAGTAAGATCCTTGCTCCCTACTTAATTTTAATCAGTAACAGGCATATGAGATGATGTAACGATATCTGAGCCTTATATAATTTCATCTTCATCATCAGATGCATATGTATTTTATCTATCTTAGAGTTTATATTCTTCGAACTTAAATTTCCTTCTTATTAGCTCTCTATTTGTTAAATCATTTACAATATAGCAGACTCCTTCACCATATCCCTACTCAATAAATTCAATTTTCAATGTGCAATTTTACCTCTATAAGTTACTTGGACGAAAAATGTTCAGGCAATGAAACCTTAAATTTTTTAACATCCTATAACAGTTAATCAACTGCCTCTGATTCTGACTTGAACTTATCAAAGTTGATTTTAAATGGATTATCTTTTTTCTATGGAGTTGTTGCACTTGGGGTTCTTTTTGCATTTCTTGGATCTTTTCTACAATCTAATTATATCCACAATGAAATTAATTTACCTTCCGTTCTTACTACCAGGCTTTTAACTATTAGCACTATTCGTACTTATATTAACTTCATCTTGTCCTTCATAGCAAAGACTCATAAGCCAATATGAAATTTCTACAAAATTTCTCACTTTTAGGTCAGTGGGCTCAGAGTCCTACTTTATAGCGAAATATGTGCGAGATATTGGCTTTCTCTATTTTTCAGCACAAAACTTTGTAGAATAGTCTAGTAAATGAAGTTTTTCGATTATGTCATCCATTATCAATATAGGATCCATTCTATTTACTTTTTTCCCTGTTCCATTACTGTTTTGATCTGATTTATTAAGAGTTGCTATTTATTTTTCGCAATAAATTACAACATCATTTATGTCTACTCTTTCTTGTGGATCAACTCTTAACATGCTATCTATCAAATACCTAAGCTCAGATGAGTAACGAGAAGCACTTAGAGGTGTATATACTCCTTAGTTGATCTTTGTGAATAAATCATATAGAGACATTTTCTTAGTTTCATCTTTGAAGGGACTTTTCAATGCACAAAGTTCATAAGCAATACAACCCAAGCTCCATACATCACTTTTAAAATCGTAACCGCTGCCTTATAAAACTTCCGGTGACATATACAATGGAGTTCCTACTCTAGAGTATGCCTCCATAGTTTACGATGTGAAATCCCTTCCAAGACCTAGGTCGCCCAATTTTAAATTATCTTGAATATCAATGAATATATTAGCTGGCTTTAAATCTCTATGCATAATTCTTACTTGGAACATATGTCTAAGTGCAGAAGCTATTTACCAGACATATGTCCATACTCTTCTCTCTTCAAGAAATTATTGCCTTGCTGCAGCCTATCTTATGAGCTATTTTAAATCTCCTTTTTCTGCCCATTCGACCACAATAAACATCTCGTTTTAATCAATAAAGCTTTCAATATATCAAATTATGAAGTCATGGCTTAATTTCTCTAATAACTTCACCTCTTTTAGGCATTTCTCTCTTTACTTCTAATCATGCATATCAAAGATCTAAAATGTCATGCTTAAATGATTTTATCTATTGCTACCTTTAGGATTTTAAGAGCAACTTATACATTATCTGAAAGTTTTTATGCTTTAAATACCACAGAGAATTTACCCTCTCCTAAAATAAAAATTCAGCTATACGTACAATGATAATTTGTAATACTAACCAATGGGTTTAATGATTCTGTAATCTCTGACTACTTTATCGAAAAATTCACTTTTCTCTTGAGTTTACTAGGGCTTAGCTTGTTATTCTGCCATCTTTATCTCTTGATCTAATTTAACTTTTCAGCAAATATGGAAATAATAACTCTGAAATTATACAATTTTTGAATTTATAATTTTATAACACTCTCTTTATGATTCTTCTCGGGGTTTTGGGGTTTTGGGGTTTTGGGG